AAAAAAAAAAAAAATTAAAAAAAAAAAAAAAAAAAAAAGTTGACGTGACATAAACATTTGTCGACCTTTAAAAGCCATTGAAGAAAATAAAGATGGATGATCACGAGTTAGGTTCCAGAGGCACCCACTATTGTACTAGAGCTGTTTGATAGCCATAATAAGTTAAAACATCTATTCCCCCGTACACCAAAATACGAAAGCTTAGCTGTAAATTCAATGCGTATAAGGGATCAAACGGCAAATAAAGTATAGGAGGATATAGATATACGATATACACAAATAGCCAAACAAAGTTAAAAGATGTGTGACATCCGTTATTGTCCTTTTTATATTTTGCTTCCAATTTTCCAACAGTAAGTCGGTAGACATATTTAAATTCAGTATTGTTCACTTTCATACTCCTTAGATTATCACAATTTTATCTTGAAAAGGTTGAATGAATAAATTTAAAAAAAGAATTTAATCTAAATTCTTAAGCGAGTGAACAAAAGTATTGATGAAGATGCATGCGTACCTCAGACTTTGATCTTGGTCCATCCTTGAAATATCCGTGAGATAGAAATGAAAGGCTTCAGACCATGACAGTTGTCTGAGATTAGTGGCAAATGCATTTCCCCACCTGTAAGTTCTGGCAGATAAAGAAGAGAAACTAGCTTGTGCTGACTTGTTCAAGAAAGGTTGATAGAACACTTTCTTTTGCTCAATCTGCAGGCTCTCCAGAAGCTCCTGTGAAATTCCATGATTAGCCACTTGAAAGAAACCCCATTCTCTTGCAGCTTCTGCGATTTCGTTCATGCATTCGTCTCTCTGATCATAATCAAGGTTTAACCGACTTAGGTCGATCAAAGGTATATCACATCTCTCCACTATAGAGCAGGAGTAGTCGTTCCTTGAATCCCCTACGTGTTTTTGCACAAGGGTCTTGTAGGTCTCCAGAAATGGTGGTTCATAATCCATTTGGAAGCTACGTATGTGAAAATGATACACTAGCTTCAAGAAAATTAACGAATCAGTTATTTATTCGCTATGTGTGTCACACTGTCACGAGTTATATTGACAAGAAAAATCAGCAAAATCTTTTGATTTCGTTCAATTAATTCTTCATCAGACTCACGTTGAGAGCCAATTCAGTGTGGGATAAGTATCGGGTTCTACGTGCATTACAAAGTGAGATTTTGCTAAACTAAAACATAGTCTCAGCCTCAGTATGTGACTTTTCAACTTATTTTAAAGATATAATAATTTATTTTTTGTCAACATTTAAGAAAAAACTGATGTTTACGCATGCATTATTTATGCTCAATGCTTTCCCTATATTGTACAGGTTCAAACAGAAGATTAAGCTTTTATACAACCATTGTTGCCCTAATCATGTGCTACAAACACATTATGGACAAACATACGGAGTTTTACCTATGTAAGGCTTCATAGACATATAAGATGATAATAATAAAATTAAAAAAAAATCATGGCAAGATCAAAATTTCACCTCTGCTTGTTTGAAAATGATTTTGGAATTTCAACCGACTTCGTACGTTGCTTTCAAATCTACACCTCTTAGTGAACTAGGAATCCGAGAAAAAGAAAACAGCGTAGAATATGTAAGTTAAATATTGGGGTTAGCTATCCCACCCTTTAAGGTGCCTCTAACGTAGCGAGGAGATTAGTCACTGCTATCGGCGGTAGATACTTAAAGGACAAAAAAAAAAAAAGTAAACGTAAAAGGAGTGAAAGAGAGGGGGTAGTTTAATTAATACGGTAGCTATAGCTAGCTATATTAAGGACTTGATTTATTCTAACTTAACTCTACCAAAGGAACTCAAGGTAAACTAAGTAGTCCTTTTGGGAAAGAAAATTGTAGTTGTGGGATCATGATGAATGATTGAACACAAGAAGATAGAGTGGTGGGTTGGTTTAGATTAGTTGATGAGATATTGGTGTGGTTGCACACATATTTATATGCATGATATTGTGAATCCAGGAAGTTTGGAATAGCAATAGAATGAAGTATATGGCTAAAGCAGAGAACACGCGGCAAAGCATAGGATCAGAAAAAAGAGGGGACAAACGCATGCAAGCACAGCTACACCATACGAAATCAGTTCTTGACTTGTAGTGGCCGCGAACTGCAGTGTAGGCGTTCAGAGGGTAAGCCACCAGTCAAATTTTGCACTATTACCCTACTTTCTATTGTTTTTTTCTGCACATTTTGTTATTATTATTAAATAGCTATTATTCATTGGTGATTTATAATTATAATTAGTTTTATTTAAGTAATATTAAATGATAATGATTAGGGATGGCAAAGTAGGGCATGGCCTGCGGGCCGGCCCATTGGCCCGCCAAAAATTGGCAGG